GGACCCTGCTGCTCTGGGGCTCAGGGACGGGGTGCCGCAGGGACGGGGTGTGGGGAGGAGCCGGCGGAGCCTGCGCTTCCTGTGGAGCTGCCGCAGGCAGGCGCTCCTGTTCCGGGGAGGGCTGTTTAGCCACACTCCTGCCTGCCCCACGTGGAGGGCGTCCCCTCTCGCTGGTCGTTTTGGAGAAAGACGAGTGGACAGAGGCCGCCGCCTCGGGGCTGTGGACAGAGATAGGGACATGGAAGTGCCAGGAACCACGGGAGGGGCTGGGCTGTGAGCTCTACCCCTGCCGTCCACGTCCCACCCCAGCCCCGCAGCCCACGCCCGCTCCTGAGCGACAGAGGACGCGTGATGCCCGAGTGGACGGGGCTCCGACCCTTATTGGTCCTCTTTTTTTTCTAAGTTTAAAAAAATACATATTTTATTGATTTTTTTACAGAGAGGAAGGGAGAGGGACTGAGAGTTAGAAACATCCGCAGGCCGACGCTCTATCCACTGAGCCAAACCGGTCAGGGCTGGTCCTCTTGTCTCTTGGGCTCTTTGCCTCAGAGTCCCCGAGGGTGAGCCCCGCCCGCCCCACCTGCCGCCCTCCTTCCTGGGGTAACCTTCCCTCCTGGGGGGGCTGCGTGAATGCTCCTGCCCAGGAGACCTTCCTGGGGCCCCCGGGGTGCGCCCCCTGCTCTGGATCCCCGGGCGCCCAGAGGCGCCTGTACGGGACCCTGTCCCATCACCTGTCCCTCAGGTGTGTCTGCGTGTGGCCTGTCCCCTCCGCTGGCCTGTCTTCCGGGGGCTCCCGGGCGAGAGGGTCCCGACCACCCCGTTCTGGAGTTGGGCTCCATTTCGTAGGCTGGGGTTTTGAATTTATTTTCTTTTAAAAACTTGGGTTAAAGAAAAAAGTCTTCAGTTTCAAAATCTGAGTGTAGGCAGCACCCGGGCGCTCGGGGAGGCTTCTGGGGGCCGAGGCTTCCGAAAATCAGGCGCTTTTTACTGTTGACGGCCTTGACTCGGTCATTGTCGCGCCCGCAGCCCAGTCATACCTGCAGGAAGCCACACTCCTGCCTGCCCCACGTGGAGGGCGTCCCCGCTGCTGCTCTCGCCGGTCGTTTTGGAGAAAGACGCGTGGACGGAGGCCGCCGCCTCGGGGCTGTGGACCGAGATAGGGACACGGAAGTGCCAGGAGCCACGGGAGGGGCTGGGCTGTGAGCTCTACCCCTGCCGTCCACGTCCCACCCCAGCCCCGCAGCCCACGCCCGCTCCTGAGCGACAGAGGACGCGTGATGCCCGAGTGGACGGGGCTCCGACCCTTATTGGTCCTCTTTTTTTTCTAAGTTTAAAAAAATACATATTTTATTGATTTTTTTACAGAGAGGAAGGGAGAGGGACTGAGAGTTAGAAACATCCGCAGGCCGACGCTCCATCCACTGAGCCAAACCGGTCAGGGCTGGTCCTCTTGTCTCTTGGGCTCTTTGCCTCAGAGTCCCCGAGGGTGAGCCCCGCCCGCCCCACCTGCCGCCCTCCTTCCTGGGGTAACCTTCCCTCCTGGGGGGGCTGCGTGAATGCTCCTGCCCAGGAGACCTTCCTGGGGCCCCCGGGGTGCGCCCCCTGCTCTGGATCCCCGGGCGCCCAGAGGCGCCTGTACGGGACCCTGTCCCATCACCTGTCCCTCAAGTGTGTCTGCGTGTGGCCTGTCCCCTCCGCTGGCCTGTCTTCCGGGGGCTCCCGGGCGAGAGGGTCCCAACCACCCCGTTCTGGAGTTGGGCTCCATTTCGTAGGCTGGGGTTTTGAATTTATTTTATTTTAAAAACTTGGGTTAAAGAAAAAAGTCTTCAGTTTCAAAATCTGAGTGTAGGCAGCACCCGGGCGCTCGGGGAGGCTTCTGGGGGCCGAGGCTTCCGAAAATCAGGCGCTTTTTACTGTTGACGGCCTTGACTCGGTCATTGTCGCGCCCGCAGCCCAGTCATACCTGCAGGATGTGACCCCTGAGCCCTGCGCCTTTAGCTGTGAGGCCGGGACCCTGCGCTGTTCCTCCCTGTGACCACGAGGTGGCAGGCGCGGCCGGAACCCTGGCGGACAGGTGCCCGGAATGCAGTGACAGTGAGGCTGTTCCATTGGGTCCTTAAAGGGTTTCCTGAAGCCGGGCTCAGGCTGCGGCAGAGTGCGGGCCGCTCCCGGGTTCACGGCCGGAGCCCTCCCAGGGCTCATGGTGGGAAGCAGAGGTTGGCGGGCGGCCTGTGGTGAGCTCTACCCCTGCCGTCCACGTCCCACCCCAGCCCGAGTGGATGGGGCTCCGACCCTTGTTGGTCCTCTTTTTTTAACCCTGGCGGACAGGTGCCCGGAATGCAGTGACAGTGAGGCTGTTCCATTGGGTCCTTAAAGGGTTTCCTGAAGCCGGGCTCAGGCTGCGGCAGAGTGCGGGCCGCTCCCGGGTTCACGGCCGGAGCCCTCCCAGGGCTCATGGTGGGAAGCAGAGGTTGGCGGGCGGCCTGTGGCCAGCTCCGGCCTCGGGCGTGCTTTTTGTAAACAGTCAGATTGGAACCCAGTCCTGGGGTCACTTACTTCTCGTCTGTGGCCACTTCCCCACGACCTGGCGGGCGGAAGAGCTGTGACAGGGGCTGGTGTCTGTAGTTGCAAACTGGCCCTTTGCGGAGAGAGCTTGCCGACCCCATGCCACTGCGGCTGGTGGTCCCCAGGCTGATCCTGTGAGAAGGGCGCTGGTGTTGTGTATTTTATCTTTAAAAGCTGTGTGTATGTACTTTGCAACTTTAAATTTTTTATTAAAGTTTAAAAAATATATTTTTTTATTGATTTCAGAGAGGAAGGGAGAGGGAGAGAGGGATAGAAACACCAGTGATGAGAGAGAATCAATCGGCTGCCCCCTGCACACTCCCTACTGGGGATCAAGTTCCCAACCGGGGCCTGTGCCCTTGACCAGGAATCAAACCATGGCCTCCTGGTTCATAGGTCGATGCTCTGCCACTGAGCCACACCGGCCGGGCACAAATTTCTTTATAACATTTTAAAAATAAAACACGTATTTCTGTATCGGTACCTGTTTTAGACACATGCGTGGCTATAGACCCCATGTTTCACCTGCCGGTGTTTTAAAATGAACCCCTGACCTTTCTGTCCTCTTCACGTTACCTCCTCCGGACAGACAGACGCCCCTGCGGGCCGGGTGTGGGTGGACTTTTTCTCCAGGTCAATGTCCTGACTGACCATTGGGTGCCCGCTGTGCGCCGGGCATCGCGGTTCTGTCCTCACACCCCCACGGCGGCGCCGGGCTTGTTCTGTAACCGCTTCGAGCCCAGCCTGCCGGGCCGACCAGGCCAGCAGCCGGTCAGGAATACAGCATGCGGGGGTGGGGGGGTGCGGGGGGGGTTCTCGTAGGTTCTATGGCCGCACCATGAGTCAGTCAGTTCCGGAGGAGTTCTCCGTGCTCAGCCCCGCAGACCAGTGGGGGTGGGCCTGGGGGAAGCACCACCTGGGCCTCCCTCTCCCTTCTCGCTGCCGCTTCCTGGTCCCTGTTGACAGCCTCCCGGTCCCTGTTGGCCGGGAGAGATGGAAGGCAGGTGCGTGCACAGGATGGAGCAGCAGAGGGAGGCTCTGAGCAGAGGCAGAGAGCGCGGGGCCTGCACACAGCCGGCCGCCCTGCACGCAGGACAGGACGCGGCT